TCTGCCTACCCCTATGTCTTCAAGGTTTTTACCTACTTTCTCTTCCAATAGATTTAGTGTTTGTATCCCTTTTCTTAAATGTGGAAAATTTGACGTTACACATATTGGTTTGATACATGGCACCAGAAAAACTTTGTTCTTATGTGGTGAAATTTCTTTACTCTTAATTATCCCATATAGGTATTTTTAAGCACCTGGAAGATACTTATCAGATTGTTTGCAGTGAACTTTTTAAAAGGGAGCATTCTAATAGAATGGCTAAATAAGTGTTAATCTGTTCATGCCATAGAAGCAGTGTGCTATGAAGAAGTGAGCTTGACCAGTGTGTTCTGTGTTAATGTGCACTACACTGTTGCATTAAGATGGAGAGTAGTGTGATTCTCCTTGCATTTTATACCTGTACAGCACACACACATGCTGTGTCTGCCTGCCTCTGAGGCTCCCCTGCCAGTATTTCAGGAAGAAATCACAAGAAACTAAATTCTGGTCACTGGCTGACTTGGGAAGATATAAACTTTTATTATGTTTTATTACTTTCTATTGTGAAGTGTTAAGAGGATAAATGTTTTAAGTGTATTTAGGAGTAAAGAAATTAGGGCTCCAATTTTTACTTTCTTACAAAGAAGAAATATAAATTTTAAAAGGAAAGGAAATAAAACTTTTAGAAGAAAATCGGTATTTGACGTACCCAGGTAATTTTAATAATATGTGTGTATTTTTATCAAAGGAAGATTCTATTTATTTTCTAATGTTTTTCAGATTTATTTTTTTAGAACTTGTTATTGTAGAAAAATTTAAAATTATATAAAAAAGAGAATGTAAAAGTCTGTGAATCTGTCAACCAGCTTCCGTAGTTATCAACCAACCTGCTATCAAGATAATGTTTGAATCCCTAGCGTCCTACAAAGGTGACCAATTATCTTTTCTTAAAAAGGTTATTTTGTATTCACAGATTTAGATAAGATTTATATTTCGGTCATTTGCAGTTTGGTTTTATAGATGCTCAGGTTACCCCTTCTCTAACCGTTGTGTACTCTTCAAGTTTTGAGACCCTTGGTGTGATTCCTTCCACTTTCACTGCTTTCTGCATGGCAGAATGTTTCAGGCTCGTCTTGCACATCTCCTGCCTCAGACTGGAAATGCCTTCCTCTGGAGAGGCCTGCTTCCCACTGAGCAGTGATGTGTAGGCCCTAGCCTGAACACGGGCCCCTCACCTCTGCTGAGGTGGTGTCGTTTCTAGGCTACTTCAATGAGCATAGCTGGGACTTTTTTTCCCTGAGAATTTAGGAGCTCACCCTGAAAATTCTAATTCAGATGTACATTGTAACATTCTTGTTACACTTAACACTTGTGTCTTACTTGGATTTGCATGTCATTCACTTAATTATTTGCTATTTTATGTATACAGAATATTTTAAGAGTACAGATGTGTGTGTTTCCTAACAACAGAGCAGGTTATACTTTTTCTTCATGTTTCTGCAGGTGTTTCTGTTTTTATAGTATATCCCAGTACAGACGTGCAGTCACATTTCTTGTTTTACTTTTCAGAGTTCGCCTTTGTCTGGTTTTACTGCCAGGTTCACATACACATTCATCTGTTTAATCTTACTTTTTGTGAATTACTCCTTTACATTTAAATTTTTAAAAATTATGTAAACTTTTGGCGCGAAAGAAAATGTATAAAGACAAAGTATTCTCTGAGAAAGCTAGTGTCTTTTCCTCTTTTAGAGAACCAATTAGAATTTTTTATAGGTTTCCCTTCCACTTGAAAAATGCAGGCAAAAATGCATGAGTTTGTATCCCCTCTCTACAGTTACTACATTTTTTCTGTACCTTTTATTCTTTGTATTCTTGACATTGCTCCATAGCATGCAGGGGAATTATTTTTATTTCAGCTGTATAGTTTTAATGATTGTATGAATGTATAGTTTAACCTATTGTAGGTTAGTATTTATATGTCCTTTATTTTTTGAAAAGGCTGACATACTTGATCTTTTTGAAGTGTAAATGCACATTAACCTAATAACTCACGGTTATATGTTTGATTTCTGTAGTTATCATCAAATCCTGCAACCCAGTGGTATTTAGTTTTTACAACTACCTTCGAACACATCCTTTGCTTATTCGAAGAAACCTGGCCTCCCCCGAAGGAACTTTGGCAACTTTAGGTCTGAAAACTGAGAAAAACTTTGCTGATAAGATCAACCTCATTGAAAGAAAATTATTCTTTACCACTGCAAATGCTCATTTTAAAGTTGGATGCCCAGTTTTAGCTCTGGAGGTACTTTCTAAAATTCCCAAAGTAACCAAAGTGTCTGCCTTATCTGCAAAAAAGGACCAGGCTGGCTTTGTTTCTAAAACGATGGGTGGTGGACCTTCAGAACCCGAGGCTGTGAGTAGTGGCAGTGCGAGTGCTGGCCCCGACTGGTCAAGCATGACCTCGTCACAGTTCGACTGGAGCCAGCCTGTTGCTGAGGTTGATGAGGAACAGCTTACTCTTGACTGGGGTGAAGATCACGACAGTGCCTTAGAAGAGGACGAAGATGCTGCTGGCTTAGTGATGAAGAGCTCAGGTGCCAGGGAGAAGGATGCAGGGGAAGGTGAGAGGGCCCCAGCACTTGTCACGTCCCTGACCCCTCAGGAGGAGGATGCTCCTGACTGCGACACTGAAGTGGATGTGATTGCTGAACAGCTAAAGTTCAGAGCTTGTTTAAAGATCCTTATGACGGAACTAAGAACTTTGGCTACAGGGTATGAAGTAGATGGAGGGAAGCTCAGGTTTCAGCTCTATAACTGGCTTGAAAAGGAAATTGCTGCCTTGCATGAGATATGTAATCATGAAGCAGTTGTTAAAGAATACTCCAGCAAAATGTGTTCCAAGGTAGACAGTGATCTTCTGAACCAGGAGGCAGCGGTGGACAGACCAGATGTTGGATCCTATGAGCGTCACCAGATGGAAAGACGGAGGCTGCAGGCTAAACGAGAGCACGCTGAGCGACGGAAGCTGTGGTTGCAGAGAAACCAGGATCTCCTCAGAGTGTTTCTTAGTTACTGCAGCCTTCACGGGGCCCAGGGAGGCGGCCTGGCTTCCGTAAGAATGGAGCTCAAATTTTTGCTACAGGAGTCACAGCAGGTATGGACATCTTTTGTCTTCAATTTTGGCTATTTTAGTAATTTCAGTAGGTCTTCCAGTTAGAACTGTAAAATGCTTTATGCGTTGATCTATTTGTAGGAAGCAAGTATTTGTATTCTGTATTCTGTGTAGTTTTTTGTGTTCTGGTCAGGAGAAGTGTGGTTAAGAGCGAGGAGCCCAGCTCTCCCGTCTGTCCTCTGTGTCCAGCAGTGTCTGGTATGCACTGGCTGCTCAGGAAGCTTGTGTAGAGCCTGTTGCTTTTACTCCAGAGTTTATTTCCAGTACTTTCTCAGCTGTTTTCACTATTTTGGTGTTTTTTGCTTTGTTTTATTTTGTTTTTTTTTGAGACAGGGTCTCACTGTAGCCCAGGCTGGCCTTGAACTCATGGCGATCCTTCTTCCTGCCTCAGCTGCCTGAGTGCTGGGATTACAGGAGGGCGCCACCGTGCCCAGTGTTTCCACTATTTTAGACAACTAATTGTCACCTGCAGGAAACCACGGTGAAGCAACTCCAGTCTCCGCTGCCACTGCCTACGACCCTGCCGCTGCTGTCAGCAAGCATTGCAGCCACAAAGACAGTCATAGCGAACCCGGTGCTGTACTTGAATAACCACGTCCATGACATCCTCTACACCATTGTGCAGATGAAGACGCCGCCTCATCCCAGTGTTGAGGACGTGAAGGTAAGATGTGTGATCGCCTGACACTGTGCTTGCTGCGTGAGGAGGTGCATGTACTGTGCTTGTGCAGCCTCCTGTTTGAACTCAGAGGAGATATCTCCCCGTGCTACTATACGCTCCCTTTTTATTTCCCATCAAGTTAGGACTGGCCGGTGAATGTCATTTAGAAGTGTGTGGTCTTTTTTCTGAAAAAGTTGTCTTCCTTTAAGATTGATGGATTATTTTGGTAATAAAACTAATATTGTGGATAGTATTCTTGCCACTTTCATCCTTTAGATCTACTTATATTCCTTTTGTTCCCCTAAGTGAGCCACTAAATTGGAAATCCTTATGACTCTGTTTCCATGCCAGGATGCTGTGAAAATAAGGTGAGGAGGACCTGGGAGAACCAGGGCTGATCAGAAATGGTTCCAGAGAAAGTGTCCTTACTACTGTTTCCGTAGTGGTTGCGTATTGTGGAGGCTGCGCAGAAGTTAGGGGCAGTCAGAGTTGCTACCCCAAATTCAACCTGTACAGAACCACTCATGGGCACCTGTGCCCAGAACTTATACATTCCCGAAGCTTGAGAGAGCTGGGCAGGATGTGGAGGGTTGGTGAGACGTGTTCACTGTGCATGCCCACATGTGTTTGTGCTGAGCTTTCTCCAGCACATCCAGCTAGTTTTTAAAAATTTCTTTTGTGTGACAGGTATGTGTGATCTCTGTATTCCTCTGAAGGACTCAAGATTTACTGGTTACATCAACTAGTAGAGACTTCTCTGTAATGCTCTGCATGAGTTAATCTTTCAGCAGAGATTACTTAAATTGTTTGTTAGATGGAGGTGAACATGTGGAAGAGAACATGTATAAAATGTATAGGTTCTATGTTTCTAGCTCATAGAAATGTGGATAAGGCTTTCAGCATATGAAACTATTTCTAAAGTCCCTTCAAATTTTAAGATTTTATGAGTCCAAAAATACTGATTCAGTATGACATTTCAGATGTGGTTTTTTGTATTATATAGAGTTTTTAAACTTTAGAAATGCAACAACTTAAGAATTTTTGGCAAGGAGGGTTTCTTAAGGCTAACCTAAATAAAGGCTCTGAAAATTTTGTATTTACTTGCTTTCATGTTTTTTGTTTGCTTTTGCACATTACTGCTTAACCTAGTTAGTAGCCGAGGACAAGTCCCAGAAGCCTCAGTGTGCTGCTTTGCTTGGGGCCTGGTGAACAGCAGGCTCACAGTAAGCAAAGGCTTGATTCCAGTGGGTTCGGATCAGTCAGATTTGCTGTGGGCGTTTATATAAAGATGGCGTGTGTTGTTTTAGAAGGTTTAAAGCAGCTAGTAGTCTCTTATAGGACCTAGTCTTATTTGTGATGTTGCTGGTTTCCTATTTTCTAATTTTTAAGATATCATGTATAAAAATGTTAGTATAAAATGTAATTGTGGCTGTTTTGGTTTTAGGTGCACACACTTCATTCACTAGCAGCATCACTTTCTGCATCAATTTACCAAGCTTTATGTGACAGTCATAGCTACAGGTAAAAACAAAAATTGCCAAATAGTGTATAGTATTTATATAGTGAAAACCTCAGGCCATTCCAGAGTTTTACTAGGGTTCTAGCTCCTGTGGACTGAAAAATCCTCAAGTATAACTGACTTACATACTTTAATAGATTAGCTAGAACTACAAAGAAAATACTTAAAGTATTTGCTTAGCTTACTTGTCATCCAGTAACAATGGAAAAACATAGAAAATAACAAATAATAAATTTTATTACCGTATTTTTTTGGTTTACTACCAGAAAAGTTTACTTTCCAAAACAATTTATATCAAGAAATTTTCTAACTTTTCTCCTTAGGAATCATTCCTGTGTTTATTGGATTGTTTAAATGGTCTTCAAATGAGACAAAAAAAAAGTCTTGAAAAATGAAAAAATACATTCCAAAAATTGAATTACTAAAATAAATTTTACTTGCCCATTTATATGTGATGTAAAAGTCTTTGAAGTGATATCAGTTAAAAAGAATGGTTTGTATTTTTATAGTTGTTAAATCACCTCATCCTTCTAGCTTTGCTAGGGCAGTGTAAGTTGTAAGAAATCTGCTGACTTGGAAAGATGAACCAGATTTAAATGAAGTATATTAATGAAAAAATTAATAGATATGTATTAATATGAAATTTATATTAAAATGTCTCTTTTTCTTATAAATTTAGCATTTTGCGGGAGCATTTGATGTTCAGTTTGATATTGAATAAGGAGTTGCTCTTTCAAAGTGGCCCATTCTCTGATTTTTTACCTTGGTTAGACCATGTGTAAATAAGTTCAGAGATTTGGAAATGTGAGGGAAAAAAAGGTTAATTTGGTTGGCGCAGTCACCTAAATGATCACAGATAACTTGCTTGGTATTAGTCACTGGTTAAAATTAAGGTACTGAATGAGAATTCAGATACCTTGTTTTCAGATGTATGTTCCAGTCATTTGGCAGATTAATTTGCAATAGCTTAGCTTTACCTTGTGCTTTTGTATTTCCTCCAGTTCTACACTGATAGTCCCTTTGGCTAGAGAAGTAAATTCTTAGGGGTGATTGGCTTTAGATTTGGATATTTCCACAATATCATTCTCTAGATTTTAGCTCAGGGTTAAGTTCACAAACTTTGCAGATTTAAGAAGGGCAACAAACTAGTGCCCTGAAACTTTCTGCCTACTATATCCTAAACCAACAGTAGTCTCCTTACCTGAGATTTTTTTTAAAAAATGCAAATAGTAAAGATTTTAAGGTATTAGGTAGCTTCTGGAAAATAAGTGATTAACTGTCATCTGCCCAATATAGTAAAATTTGATATAACAACTATCAGTAAACATTTGTAACTGATTTCAAGAACTTTCTGAAACAAATTTTCATTAGAAAATTAAATTCAGTGTGAGGATTTCTGTTTTTTTTAAATAATCGTGTAAAGTAGGTGAGATGGGTGAGGTGCAGTGCTCAGGAGCTCTTGTAGAATGGCAAGTAACTGGGCCTGTTGGACCTCGCAGCCAGCCGGAAGGGAGTCAGTTCACAGGAATGGCTTACCAGGGGCTGCTTCTAAGTGATCGCCGGAGACTAAGGACAGAAAGCATCGAAGAACATGCAACACCAAACTCATCTCCTGCTCAGTGGCCCGGTGAGAATTTGCTTCCTTGTTTTTCGTTCCTCCTGTAAATCTTCTATTTAATAATTCTCCCCTGTAATATTGTTGGGGATGGGAGGAATCCTGCTGGGGATTGAACCCAGGAGAACTTCATCACTGAGCTATATCCCCATCCCTTTTTTTACTTACTTGTTTGTTTTGTTTTTTTGAGACAGGGTTTGACTGTGTAACCCAGGCTGGTTTTGAATTTGAGTTGATCCTCTTGCCTCAGCCTCCTGAATGCTGGGATTACAGCGTGTGCCGCCACACCCAGCTTTGCTTTTTGAGATAGGGTTTTGCTGAATTGTCTAGGCTGAGCTCAAACTTGTAATTCTGTCTGAGCTTCCCAAGTACCCTGGCATTGTGGGTATGCTCCAGCATGCCCAGCTTGGAAATACTTTTTTTTTTTCAGAAGGTACTCACCAGTTTCCTGTTTGTTGTTCTTCGTAGATTTGGTGAATTATTTTTTGGTTTTCTTTTTAAATCTTGTTTCCTCTATGGATTAGAAGTTTTTAAGTAGTATTGTATTGACTGATAACTCTAAAGTTAAGGCTTCAAAAACCGACTGTGTCAACCACATAAAAGTTTGACATTCTTAATAGGGTGAACGCATCATCTCCTTTATCTTTAGAAATCTGGACTAGAGTCTTAGCAGTGTCACATAGTTTCCCAAATTGAGCAGTGGAAATCCAGTCACTTTCAGAATGTGAACGTCTCTAGCAGGGTGCCAGGGACCATCTGCCTTTCTCTGGTTAGTCCTCTCTCTCACTGTACATCAGCTACTTCAGATTCTCCTCTCTCCTTTGCATCCTACAGTTTGAAGTTATTTTAAGCATAGATTTCTAGAAACATACTAGTTTAACTCCTTATTTTGAAATAATTTTAGACATTACAAAAATATTGCAGAAATAATTTGTGTAACTTTCATCCAGATTCCCCAAATGGGATTAAGTTACAGACAGGATATCCTTTTCTGTCCAGATGTTTTGGTGTGTTTTTCCTAAAAACACACATTCTCTTATATAACCACAGCATAATTACCAAATCTAATGCTCTGGCATTGGTGTATTACTGTCTTCTAGTCTTTTTTAACTTTCTCCAGTTGTCCCACTAACGTCCTTTTTATGCTCCATGTAGTATTTAGCTCTAGGGTCTCTTGAGTCTCCTTGGATGATAAGTTTCCTTTTGTTTGCCTTTCATGACTTCTACACTTTCAAAGAATATTGGCTGGCCAGTTCCGCTTTTTTTAGGCTATCTCCCAGCTTCTCTGATTTTTTTCTTACTGTTAAGAAGTCAGGCTATGTATTTTTGCCAGGGAAACCACAAGAAGATGTGTCCTTCCCAGTGGGCGGTACGGGTGGGCACATGGTGTCTTGTCCCCAGCAGGTGTGCTGTTAGCTCTGGTCGGTGTCATGTCTCTGCCAGGGCCTCCTTTACAAGGTTACCCTACTCTCCTTTATCATTAATTGGAGCCTTGAAGAGATCATCAGAGACTCTGGAAAGTATCAAATATGCACACCCAGTGAGGGTTCCTGCCCAAATCAGACACCACTGTAGGGTGACAAGTGTTGATTTTCTGTCCTTTTGCTGAAATTTTACTGCAAAGCTTTCCCTTCTTCCCTTTTGATTCACGTATTTATGATATCAGTACTCACGAGTAGATTCTTACTTTACTTTATAGGTTATAATTCCTTCCTACCATTGTTTATTTTGTTGCCCAAGCTAGGAAAATACTTATTTCGTAGGATAGAAATGTGGGCTCCTGGTTCCACTGCCTGTTTGGATTGTTCCCTTTGGTGCTTTATGAACATGAGGTGATTCTTACGGCCCCTCTCACCTCGCAGGTGTGAGCTCGCTCATCAACTTGCTGAGTTCAGCCCAGGATGAAGACCAGCCGAGGCTGAACGTGCTGCTGTGCGAAGCTGTGGTTGCTGTTTACTTGAGCTTGCTGATCCACGCTCTTGCCACGAACTCTTCCAACGAGCTCTTCCGGCTCGCAGCCCACCCATTAAACAGCCGGATGTGGGCTGCCGTCTTTGGTGGGGGTGCGAAACTTGTTGTGAAGCCTCGAAGACAGTCAGAAAATATCTCAGGTAGGACAGGTTCAATGCCAGTGCTGACCATAAATGCACATAATTTCCAATCTTAGGGTGTTCTTAATGTTTTAGGAGTTTTACCTGGAATCAGGGATGATAAAGGTGTAAGTAATCACTTTTTCTAGGACAGTAAAATTACTACACCCATGTTAGAATAAAAATACAATTGGCTACTTTTTTACAGAAGTAACATTTTTTAGGTTGACCAAGGCAGGACATGTTTGAGGAGGGTAAGAAATGAGTGGAAAGGTGAGAAGACATTGTTCAGGCATGAGGTCACGGAACAGGTTAGTTTGTTAGGGAAAGGAGATTTGAATAGATCTCAGTCTTTCCAGGGCTTCTAGCAGTAGCTGTCTTAGTTACTTTTCTCTCATTGCTGAGATGAAATATCAGACAACCAAAATTAAGGAAAGAAAGTTTATTTAGTTCACAGTTCCTGGAGGTTTCAGTCCATAATCAGCTGTCCCTAAAACAGGGTGGTATTGGGTTAATAATTTCCCTTAGTTATTGCAGGCTGCTCAGGTCCGCAGTCTCCCAAATGAGTGTACAGCAAAGGCTAAATAAGAAGAGGCGAACGGAATGATTTCAGGAGGATCAAAACCCTATCACAATTCGAGATTCTTTTAGGGCTAAGACCAAGACCTTGTCTGGGTGGCTTATATTTATTTAGTTATCAGAAGAAGGGAGGAGTGTATTCAAGAAGGGTGGAACCACTCAAGGACTTCTCCAAGTAAGGTGTTAAGTTAATCCACCCAGGAGTGACATGCCTGAGGCTAGTCTTTATCTAGTTGAGATCGGATCCAGGGGTCCTTGGCTGTGATCTTGTCTTGTCCTTCGAGGCTTTTTGGCTTCATCACCCCTTCAGTGTTTAGTGGGATCAGTGACTCACAGAGGTTCACTTACTATGAGTCTGCCATTTCCAGACAAGGAGCCTGGACCTTGGACAGATTCACAAGTGAACATGAAAAGCCAATTGGTTCATTTAAGTCCTGCTCAGGTCTGTTTCATAGTGGTCTCCATCAGGGTGACATGGCACAGGGGCAAGTTCAAGGCAGCAGAAAAACAAAAGGAATAAGAACAAAAGGGATGGGGAAGCAAGCCTCTTTTCCTCGTTAACCTTGTGTGCTGGCTCTCCACCCACACCCTCTCCCTATCTTTCCCTTACACAGGCTTGGGATGTTTACAAAGTAAGAACCCTGGCCCTCTGCTGAGCCACTTAGTTAACCTTCTAAACTTCTCAAGTTGACATAGTGTATCAGCTGTAACATGTTTACGGGATAGCTGTTCCAGCCACCAAAGATGGCTTTCTGTATTCCATTGTGTGTGTGGGTGTGTGCATGTTTTCTTCCCTTCTGGTCAGTAATACACTTTGCATCCTGCTTTTCACCTTGGTGCTAAAATGTAGAAAACATCTTAACTCCTCTACAGCAGTTTGGGCTATGCAGGTTCCAGCCTCCATCCTTGCTGTGGCCCAAGGTCAAGTTGAAGAAGCAGGTCCTGTGTGTGGTCTTCGTTTTCCTACTGCAAGGTCCCTTCTCTATCTGAATGTTGTGGGGTTTTGTTGATGACCCGCCTGTGGGGTTTTGTTGATGACCCGCCGGGTCACTGTGCTGTAAACCTCCCAGGTGCGTTCATGTTTGCATTCTCATTCGCTGCACACCTGCCGGACGCCAGGCCACAAGGCAGGCTTGGGAGGTGGGAAAGCAGGAAGCAGGACAGCACCCACACCCTCAGGAAGCCATGTCTGCTGAGGAAGACACTCAGGAGGCAGCAGACATAGAGGGCTTTAGTCACCGTGAGAACTGTGGGGAGAGTGGAGCAGGGTCAGGGAAGACAGGTGGGGCCAGGCCCATTTGGTCGGGAGCCCAACACCATGTCTGATGAGGGCGCGTGCTGAGCAGAGCCGGGGGCAGGAGACGATGCGGCATCAGCGTTGGGGCAGAGCTTCCCTGACACGTGGAGCCATGCACGCAGAGGCCCTGGCGTCAGGCTGCAGTTGGCCTTTCCAGGACCCTCAAGGAGGCCTCGAGGTTCTTGTGAGTGGGGTGCAAGGTCACTTAGGCTTCTGCGGATCGTGATAAAGACTTCAGTTGTTGCTCTAAAGAGAGAGAAGAAACTGCCTGAAGGTCTTAGAGGCACGATCCAATTTAGGTTTTCAAAGGGACCGCTTAGGCACTTGGGGAAGAAAAACTGCAAAAAGAATAAAAATAGAGATCCTTGCTGGGCCTTCTTCTGACTGACCACTCAGAGGTGAGCCTGGGTATCCAGGGGCCAAATGAGGGAGTCCCCTCGCCTGCAGATGAATGGATGCTGGCTCGTGCTACAACTGCACGGGCCTGGGAGAGACCAGGCCGGGTAAAGAAACAAGGCCCAGCAGGCCACGTGCTGTGTAACTCTGCTCATGTGAAGGCTAGAATGGGCGGCTAGGTGACAGCAGACTGGAGGCCGAGAGGGTTACTCAGTAGCCTGGGCTCCCGCTCGGGGTGGACAGAGGTGGCATTGCCACCACAGATGCACCAGGTGCCCCTGAGCACACACAGAAATGGCTGGGTGTGTTGTGTGAGTTCACCTCAGTTCAAAATACTTTAAGAGGAGCAGTCAGAGGCAGTGGGATGGGTCTTGTTGTGGACAGAGTGGGAGTCAGTGGCTGATGGGTTTGTCTGCGTGCTGGCCCCTGGTGCGGGTAGCACCTCCATTCTTTTGAGCCCCTCATACTTACCTGTCCACTGTCCCTCTCGGGCCTTCCTGGGTTGGAGGTCGAGGAGTGGCACGACCTCAGGTTGATCAGGTGGCTTCTCTGGGGTTGATCAGGTGGGCACTGCCGGTGCCGTGCAGTTCCTGAAAGCTGTACTGCAGTGGCTCCAGGACTTACCACTGTCACTGCCCGTCTCCTGGGCCACACAGGAGCTGGGCTTCACACCTACCCCGCCCTCCTCTGGCCACTTGGTGCTGTCTTCCTCAGTTCCCACCGTGGTTCGGTCCTTGGAAACACGTCTGTGCCCTGCCACCTCTTTCTTGTGCCACATAGCCTGATGTCACCCTGTGGTGTCTTTGACACTTCCTGCGTATCCATTTGTTCCCCATGTTTTATGTAGAACTGTGATAATCCGGATAGGCTGGGCACACACCTACGTCCTTGCTGTGACCACTGGGACGCAGGTGCTGTAACTAGTTTAGAAGCATAGGTGTAAGGAATTTAGACTAAAACATGAAGGGAGAGGATGAGAAGAAGTCTGAGTTAAAGGCACAGAACAGGAACTGACTCTGAAACACCTTTCTGCAGCACCTCCTCTGCCCTCTGAAGACGTGGACAAGCACCGCAGGAGGTTCAACATGCGGATGCTGGTCCCCGGGCGTCCGGTGAAGGACGCCACCCCACCGCCGGTGCCTGCAGAGAGGCCATCCTACAGGGAGAAGTTCATCCCTCCCGAGCTCAGCATGTGGGATTACTTTGTTGCCAAGGTACACAGTGGAGTGCAGGCTCCCCATCGCATGTCTGTGTCACAGAAGGGCTGGCAGTGGTGGGAATCACCGCTGTCTAGACATTGAGTCTAACTGCACAGTTGTGGTGCTCTTGGGGCTGAGACAGGGACGCCGGGAGCATGGATGACACATGAGACTTGTTACAGTCAGATGCTTCCATCGAGTGCACAGACCAGAGTCCGTGTGCAGCACGGAACCAGCTTGCTGTGACAGAACCGCCTGGCAGTGCGCTGGCCCTGAGCAGCGTACGCTGTCTGGATGCAGTGCTCCCCTGCCCCTGCCGCTCGAATTTAATGTGTCTCTTTACCATCACGAAAGCACCTGGAATCTTTAGTGTGAATGACAGCGACATTAAGATTGGTAAATGGCATCGGGTGTGGCGCTGTGTGGAGTCCTAGCACTGGGAGACTGAGGCAGGAGAATCAGAATTTCGAATCCAGCCTGGGCAACTTAGACCTTGCCTCTAAATAAAAGTGTGCTGGGATATAGGTCATTATGAAGGCTCTGAGTTCACTCCCCACCCTATACTGGGAAAAAAAAAGGTTTGCAAATGGTGACATGCCAGTTTATTTTTCATTTTCCAAAAACATTTCCTCCTGATTAATAAAGGGTTTTTGGAAATTTGGAAAATGCCAAAAAGTATAAAGAAGGAAAATACAATCTATCCATGGATAATTGTTAACTGCTTCATAGTCTTTCTTCAGTTAACATTGCAAGGTAAGAAATTCCACATGCTATTAGAAACTTGGTCAGACATTGTGGCTTGCACTTACCATCCTAGTACTTTGGGAGGATAAGGTAGATAGATCACAAATTTGAGACCAGCTGGGCAGCTTAGGGGAAACTCTGTTTTAAAATATGAACATTGCCAGTGCAAAGGCCCTGGGTTCAATCCTCAGTACCAAAACAAACACCTGCATAGCTGTCATTAAAAAACAAAAATTACAAACTAGGCACGGTGCATCCCGCAATTTCAGTGTTCTGGGAGGCTTAAGTAGGAGGTTCACAAGTTCAAGCCTAGCCCTGGCAACTTAGTAAGACCCTGTCTCAAAAAATAAAAAAATAAGGCCGGGGATATAGCTCAGTGGCACAAGTGCCTGCCTGGCAGGTGCAAGGTCCTGAGTTCGATTCCTGATACCAAAAATAAATAAATAAAATAAAATAAAATAAAAAAATAAGAAAGACTGGGGATATAGTTCAGTGTGACGGCCTTGGGCTCAGTCCCTAGTACCACCACCAAGAATTGCAAGAGCCGTGTTAGGGAAAACCTTAAACATACATGGAGTGCAGGAGCTGGAACAGCAGCGCCCACCTCTTGTCCGCCATCTGGTTTCAGAAGTCATCATCTCGTGGACAGTCATGCTTCACTACTTCTGCTCCCTGTTGGTGGCAGTGGAGGACAGCGCGGGATTCACTCATGAATATTTCTGGGTGTGTGTGTGTGTGTGTGTGTATTTGCCACTGAGGATTGACCCTAGGGCCTCACGGAGCTGTGCCATCAGCCCCTTTTAGCTAGTTTGAGACAGGATCTTGCTGTTTTGAGACAGCTGCCAGAGTGGGCTTGAACTTTCTAGTCTCCTGCCGCAGCCTCCCATGCTGAGATCGTAGGCATGCACCACCACACCTAGTTTGTGTTTTTTTTTTTTAAAGGATTTTAACAGAATTACACTAATGTTATCTGTCTCTCTCACACACACACTTCCACTCTATCAGGTATCCCAGACAGTGTTCACGTGCTCCCTTGTATCTTAAATGTTTTTGTGTAGTGGTTTGCCCAAATCAGGATCCAAAGTGATGCATACAAATGGGCTAGTATGACATAGGTCTCCCTTGATCTTTTCCACCACCATCTTTTTCATTAAATTGACTTTCTCTTATTTTTGTCCCAAAAGAATTTGTCCTGTCGCATCTCTCAGTGAATGCTGGTGGCATCTCTGTGGCTCTGAACACCTCCTTCAAGCCCAGTGTTTCTGAGAGGCGCAGGTTAAATGGGAGTTGTCCCTCCCCGCTGGAAGCGCTATCCTGGAGTTGTGCCTCATCAGTTCTTGTCTCCACGGGGGCTTTTGATCTTGCCCCGTGGTCTCGTCCCTCCCTGCTGTTCATTCTCTGGGATGTGTCCCTTCGTCACTGTTTGGTTCCCTCCAGCACGTGTGGGTGGGAAAGGCAAGAGCAAGAGCAGTGATTCTAAACTGTGCTTCCTTTTTGCTTTTAGTTCTACACTAAGCTGATAGTCTAGCGTCCTTTTGGGAGATCAGTGATGTTGGTTTTGTTTGGAGCACTGCTGTACTCTCAGGCTGTACACATGGCACTCTAGTTGCCAGCAGTGTCACTTGAACATGAGCCTGATCGCCCCATCGCAGGGGGCCCCTGTGTGCTGGCTCCCGGGGCTGGGAGGCTCCCAGCGGGGCACTGCCTTACTTCCTGGTGTAAGGTGCTCACCCCATCAGGCGTGTCCTGCCCAGGGTGGGAGCTGCTGCTTCTCCAGAGAAGCTTTGCGTGGGAAACGCTGAGAAAGAGTCAGGGACATGGGTGCTGGTGGTGCTGGGGTGGTCCCTATTTCTAGGTGAGCACCCCTTACAGCCGTCACACAGCGGGTCAGTGGGGGGGATGGACACCGGTTTACCTAAGCAACATAGCTGTAGAATCTTTTCTATACCTCTGTTTCAATTTTCTTAGTTTTTCTTTTGATGTTTTATATTTTTCAATGTTGTTTTAGACTTTCTAATTTTTATTGCTGATATATAAGAAGAAAACTATTGATTTAAAAAAATTAATGTGTCTAGCTGCTAAGTTATTTTGTTGAACAGAGTTTTACCTGGTTATCTTGATGGTTGTAAGGCTGGTAACATCTGCAGAGAATGGTTAGAGTGATACCATTTAACATGTTCCATTTTAAGTCAGAATAAACACTATTTTAACATTTTGAAGAAGTAAGAATATATATTTTAAGAAAATTTAAAATATATATTTAAAAATAAAGAATATAATTGATATGTAAAATGTGTTTTATATGTTTATGAAGTTCTGCATATTTTTAAACTCACTTTGCCTTTTATTGCAGCCATTCCTTCCTTTGTCTGATAGTGGTGTCATCTACGACTCCGATGAAAGCGTTCACAGTGACGACGAAGATGACGATGCCTTTTTCTCAGACACACAGATACAGGAGCACCAAGACCCAAATTCCTATAGGTAAATGAGGCATTTTTTTGCTTTTGTAGAACATCCTGATGTTAACTAATTTTAGCTAACGTTTTCATCATGGATTTATATAAAAACTGACATTATTTGCAGGTTAGGAATTCTGCACCGTTAAGGTAAAATTTCTAAAAAGTAAAAATATTTTCTTCACATCCAGTTTCAAAGAATTTCACACATATTATAAACACTAATATTTTTAGTGAGAAAAACCTTGAAACTTATCATTGTTGTTAGATCTTGTGTGACTGTGAAAAATGCTTTTCTACTTGGTTGCAGGTTCCATGTAGTAGTAAGTTTGGTGTATGTTGCACATCTTTTATTTTTCAAAGACTACAGAGTTGTTGTCTTAGTTACTTTCTTATTATTGGGACAAAATACCCAGCACCCACAAATTAAATGAAAGATTTATTTTGGCTTGAGGTTTGTAGAGGTTTCAGTCAACGATCAGTTATCTCCAAGGCAGAGGGGCTTGGCGGAGGGGGATTGCTCATGGCATGGCAGGCAAGCAGCAGCAGCAATCAAGGGAGGAGGTGGGACACAGACCCTTCTAGGCTGGGCCCAGTGACCCATGTCATCCCGTGGGCTTCACCTCCCAACATCACGCCCAGCTGTAAACCCATCAGTGGACTCACCTGATGTCAAGCGCTTGTGATCCAGTCACCTCCGAAGCCCCACCTACAAGCAGGAGCTGTGAGGGGGCACCTGGATAGAGCCCTGATGGATACCATAGGGGTGCTGTAGTTAGGCAGCCTTTCTTTTGGGTTGGAGATCGAGTTAAAACAGTTGGCAGGGAGCATTACTGTGCTGCTCTCACAACTTCAGTTTTTCAGTTAATGAGCATTTTGTTTTGGCTCTTATGAACAGCTGGGCTCTTCTGCATCTGACAATGGTGAAACTAGTGCTTCATAATGTCAAGAATTTCTTTCCCATTGCTGGACTGGAATTCTCTGGTGAGTTTGGAATTTGAAAATTAATGTTACTAAATATAAGTTACCATTAAGTTTTGGTTTTTACAGAGTCCGTATAAAAGGCCACTTGGTACGAAGTAAAATATCCAGTGTAGTCCTTTTAAGTCTTAATTATTATAGGCTCCAATCTGGTTTTAATCAGAGCAGCACCTCCGCGTGGAAGATTGGAAGAGCGGGAACCCAGAATAGGTACACTTCACATTTCTCAGCTCGTGTGAGCTGCCCTCCTGTTTTGTTGAAAGTATTAAGAATCCAAATAGTATTAGGTTAACATTTTCAGTTTTGTATTTTCAAAAGTCTTAGCTCTAAAAGTTCAGATTTTTATGAATATGTAAATGATCAATATTTTTTGGTAAAATGAAATGACATATTCTCTTATCTTTTAGAACTGCCTGTAACGTCACCATTGGGTATTGCTGTGATTAAAAACTTGGAGAACTGGGAGCAGATTCTGCAAGAGAAAATGGATCAGTTTGAAGGCCCACCCCCCAACTACATCAACACATACCCAACTGACCTTTCAGTAGGAGCTGGACCTGCTATTCTTCGAAATAAAGCAATGCTGGAACCCGAGAACACGCCATTCAAGTAAGAAAGCTCTCAGAATGTCGATGAGTGTATAGCTTGATTCAGTTTTCTTGAAAAAATGTGACAACAGCTTTCAAAGTATTCATAATTTTGAAGCCACAGTCAATTTTTAGCAGTACTCTCTAAGCAAAACACAAAAATCTAGGTAAAATTTATGTTTCCTAGAATTATGTTTTCTGTAATTCAATAGACATACTGCTTTTATATTCAGGAAGAGACCTTTCTTATCATCTGTATTACTTTCAAAACTCTTAGAGAAATTTTTTTAATAATCTTAATAATCTCCATGTACAAACAAGTAGTAGACACATTAAGGATTCTTAGCATTGTTTTGATATGCTACATGCCTGTCTTGATTCCTTTGGATAAGAAGCATGCTTTTTTTTTTTTTTTAATAATTTTAATTTAATATATGAAAATACAAAAATTGTGCATCTTCATGAGCAGATGTGATGTTTGAGTACCTGTGCACATTGTGTCATGTTTGAGTCAGGTTAAACAATGTCTTAGTTAGTTTCTGATTGCTGAGACAAAATACCCAAAACCTCCAAGTTAAGGGAGGGAAGGTTTATTTTGGCTCATAGTTTGTAGAGGTTTCAGTTCACAGTTGGCTGGCTCCAAGGCAAGATGGCACAGCAGAGGGGCATTGCGGAGGAGAAATAGTTTATGGTGGGCAGAAGGCAGCAAGCTACAAGTGACCAGCCAAGACCACAACTCTTTCTGTACCTTACCCAGGCTACCCACCCTTAGGGTATATAACCCTCACACCCTTAATCCAAGTGCCCTTCAGAAAGCCCCCCTGTGACCACATGAACCTTTAGGGGTATGTCTAGACACAGCCTAAGAAGCAGTGAGCAACACATGTGGGTTTTGAAGCAGCCAGGCATGAGCAGCACTGATGCTCACAAGCCTGAAAGAGGCGGGCTGCTGAGCTCTAGATGTTGGAGAAGCATTGTGACTCTTATTTCCTGATGGGCTTTCACCGATGGCCATCCTAAAGGGTCATTTTAAAAAAGAAGAGGTACAGATGCATCTGATACTTAGTACAACCAGTGCATTCAATGTAGGGAATTAATTACTATACAAAGGAGTGATTTTCAAGAGAACTAAAAACAATGACATAATTCATAAAATTTTGTTGAGCTCAGTGCTGTCTTCTTTGCAGTAGGTGATGCAGGGTTTAAAGCAAGTATGTGTGAGCGTGAAGCATGTTTCCTGTAGACTAGAATGGTGTGTCTTGTTTTGAGTAGGTCCCGGGATTCTTCTGCGCTCCCAGTCAAACGGCTGTGGCATTTCCTTGTTAAACAGGAAGTCCTCCAAGAGACATTCATCAGATACATCTTCACTAAGAAGAGGAAACAGAGTGAGGTACTTTGAGAAAAATACTTCAACATTTTTAAGTTAGTACTTGATTTACTTTGAAAATTTCTTTTTGGTTATAACTCATTTTAATGATCTTTCACACACCATGGCTAGTTGCCAGTTTACTAAATTGCAGTGCATTGCTTTTAAGACCAAATCCTATAGTTTTCATAGCAATGAAAAAATAAAGGTCCCTTGATAAATCACATATAATTAGGTAAAAGTTGGTCCTTCTTTTTTTTGAGACAGAGTTTTGTTATATAGTTCAGACTGTCCTTGATCTTTTTTTGATGGGCTGGGTACTGGGAATTGAACTCAGGACCGCATTCTTGCCAGGCAAGCACTGTGCCACTGAGCTGTATCCCCAACCCCAGACTGTCCTTGAATTCACTATGTAGCCCAGGCTGGCCTCAAACTCTTGGCGACCCTCCTGCCTCAGCCTCGCAAGTGCTGAGATTACAGGCATGCACCATAACACCTGGCTTGGTCCTTCTTTTTTAATTAAAACAGTAGCATGGCCCTTTAAAAGCAGTTAGGCTTGCTGTACTAGCATTTTAACATGAAAAATTTTAATTCTGTAACAGAATATGCTACAGAAATAGGAAGTGTGACTTGATTGTCTTTACGAAGCTAGGCAGAAGTTTGGTGTTGCACAGTGATTTTAAAACTAGTGAGTGGCGGTGTAAGACGAATCAGAATTTCGGCAGCTGGCTCCCCTCTCTCCCTTGGAAAGGTCTTTTCTGCGAGCACTGCAGGTGCTGGCTGAGGTAACAGGCTGTCACAGATGCAGTCTAGAAGAGAAAAATGAGTTCTGCTCCACTTAGAAGAGGGGCAGGTGCGGTAGAGTCCCTATGGCCAGTTCCCTGGCACCACGTGCAGAGCTGTGTCCCGGGTTTCCTGTGTCTACCACGCACCGCTCCCCGGAAGAGTAACTGGTCAGCCCTTGGCAACAGTTTTCGATTTTTGTATACTTTTTGATAAAAACAAAAGACCCTGCTGGTTTGAGATGACTAATGTAGGGTTTGTTAGGGAAAATCACAGAGCTGTACCATTTGTCTCTTTCATTTAAGCCACTGGATAAAGCATCTCCTGTGGTGATGCGGAATTTCCATAATAATATATAGAACCTAATAGATGAATTTAAAGTAAAAGGTATTTGCTCCTTAGGCCTGTCATTCACAGAAAGCCAGTTCATTGAAGGATCACTTTTCTGAGTGTTTAGTTCTTCAGATTATTAAACTAATGGTTTACCAGAAATATAGCTGTTGCTAAGGCTTGGAGCAGCTAAATTTGGCTGGCTTCATATAGCTTCGGCTGACTGCTGTGGGAGCCGCGTGTCTGGTTGTTTTGGGTGTCCTGAGTGAGGTCTGCACATACAACATTGAACAGTACGTGTCTGCTAAAAATTGTTTTCTTTAAGAAAACATGAAAAAATTAAAATGTAAAAAGATCGTAAGGCTTGAACTATGCAAATTTATTAAAGCTACCTATCAAAAAATGTGCTTTGTCTTAGTTGTCAGGATTTTGATAAAATTGGTAAATTTACATAGTTGATTAGTACAATTTGCAAACTAATCTTAAAAACATTTTAGCTCATTTTAAAAAACTACTTAAGATTCTTCTGAGGAAATACTGAAGTTTTAGGTATACTCATATTTTTCATCCTTGAGTATTTTAAAAATATTTTGCCAAACAAGGTTTTATGAAATGGATAAATGGTTCATAACATTTCTAACTCTGCCAGTTGAGGTACGGCAAGTAGGTTCTTGAGCATTTCTGCTTTCACCCAGGGAGCAGTCCTGACCTCTCGCTGCACTCTGTGCATGTCCTGGTCCGCTGGACCCACCAGGAATCCTGGGGCGCGGTCCGGGCCACGGCCCTTCCCCAGTGGGAAGAGCTCGGGGCTTCTGAGCTCCTTGTGATGCCCCTGTGACAGCAGGGACCTGTCCCTTTTTATGGCACATCACCAGCCGGGTGCAGGTTGACCCTGTGATCTCTTCCCATGCCTCCTGTTAGGCAGTTCCTCATATAGAGAGTGAATGAGCCTGTGATCAGGAAGAAAAGTAATTACTCAGATTATGAGGGACAGTGAGAGAATTCCCAGTGTTTTGATTTGTGTTTAGCAATAAATAATTTTTAGATTTTAAGTCAACCCCTGTAGGCTAGGAATCTGTGAGATATAGAGTGCGACGGCTCTTAAAGGCAGGTTTCATTTCCAGAGGTTAGTTTTATGAACTTTAACTAGTATACAGGTAGTTTTTATTTTAAAAGTAGCTTTGTTTTTGCGTCTATGCAATCATCACATTAATTTGCTCTTTTTGCTTTGTGTTTATCTGATGACATTTTGCTTTAAAATTTTTCCTGATTTTTCAAATTCATTTTTGTCATCTTTTAAGTGATTAGTGACTGTTTCAGCTTGAAATGTTTCATTCTGTGTAATTTCATTTCATGCATGTGTTTGTGGTTGTGGCGGTGTGGTGTTGTTAGTCTGTAGAAGAACGTGTGGAGCAGGGCAGACCTCACTGCATGGCAGAGGATGGCCACGCCAAGGTAGTACCACCCTCCCACCTATGCCTCTGGCTCCTCGCCTGCCCCCTCTGCGCACTAACTGAGTGCCCAGCTGGTGACTAACCCAGAGTCCTTGAGGGAGGAGCCCCCTCGGTGCTTCCGCTGTGTCCAGCTGTGCTTCTGCCTTCAACTGGCTGTCTCCATGTTTCTTCTGTTTGACCCCTTCTCTTCTACCTTGAAGCTCGTACTTCCTTCCTCCTCTCCCGAGCCCCTCCATCCCTGTGTCTTCTCTCTAGCTGCTCTTCATTCCATTCCGTCAGCCTCTAAACTGCTCCTTTGTCTTTCCGTGACTTTTCCTCCACTCCACGCCTCCTAACATGTACGACTCATTGCATACATCTGTGCACTTGGGGATTGCGCAGAGATACGTGTGATTGTTACACATTGGTAATGTAAATATCTGAGTCATCTTCTATGACAGTTCATCCATGTCTTACACCCTCAGCGGATAGCTTTACAATTGGAGTTAATTATAGGGCTTCAAAGTATTCAAGCAGATTTTCCAAAACTAATTCTCAACACACTAAACTGTTACGTGTTTCTTTTTGCTGCTACATTCTCTTGCTGTCCAGCTTTTAAATTCGGTGGGATGTGCATGTTGCTGCGTGGCGCTGTGCGGCAGAAGCTAAGGCTCAGCTGTATTTTGTAGGTCGAAGCTGATCTGGGCTACCCAGGAGGCAAGGCCAAGGTCATTCACAAGGAGTCCGACATGATCATGGCATTTTCCGTTAACAAGGTAAAGGCACTGAGCGCTAAGAAAAATGTACCGTATTTAGTGAAATGGCTTAAATCATTCACTGTGCCCTTGCTCTGCAGGCAAATTGTAATGAAATTGTTCTGGCTTCAACACATGATGTTCAAGAACTGGATGTGACTTCTCTGCTGGCCTGTCAGCCTTACATATGGATTGGAGAGGAATATGACAGAGAATCCAAAAGGTGTGTCCTCAAACCACTTGGAAATGGAGTTTTCTTTCCTTAGGTATCCACCAAATCACAGACTGGGACATGGCTATACATCTCTACTAGAGTAAAAGATAAATATGATTTAGCTACCAGTAAAAGTCTTTGCCTACATTAATGAATAAATTGCTCCTTCCATTAAACTGTTCGTAGTTTTGAATCAGAATAATCTGATATCAAAGTCTAATGCTTACTACCATTCCAGTGAGTTTAACCTGAAGAAATGTCAGGATCACGTGGTACTCAGTAACGGCAGCTGAGGTGCAGGAACACAGCCAGACATCGCAAACACAGCATATTAATTGGACTGGTGGACAATTCTCATTCACTAAGTGACTTTGCGGTATTTCTTCTTGTCACCTGATAAGCACATCTTTACAGACAAAGACGCAGGCAGCGTTACTTTTCTTTGAAGCTTTGGACACTGCAGTACTCTGTCTGGCCTTTTTCCTCTGGGCTCCCCCTCCCCCACCTTCAGCTTTGGAGTTGCATGTCCCTGGGGCTGGCGCTGCAACACTGTTCTTGTTTTGTGGAATTTTCTCTTTCAGGTAATATCACCAGTCTTAGACTTCTGAGTGGATGGAACCATAATAGAAACTCCATACTTCAAAGAAATCTAAAGTTGAATTTCTTTAAAATTGCTAATTTGGGGCTGGGGATGTGGTGCAGTGGGGGGCACCTGCATAGCACAAGCAAGGGCCTGGGTGCAAACCCCACCATCATAAAAATAAGAGAAGTTAATTTGCCACCTGGGATGTGTGTATTTGAGTAGAATGTTTACTTGTTTTGTATATATAATCGAAGGAAAATCTGTTAATGCTTCAAAACAGGGCCAGAGATATAGCTCAGTGGCACAGTGCCTGCCTGGCAAGCACGAGGTCCGGAGTTCGATTCCCAGCACCAAAAAAACCCCCCAAAACAAAAAACTTTAAAACAAAGATTGTTCCAGTACGTGCAGCAACACAGTTGCCTCCAGACAGAATACATTTAGACTGTATGTACGTTTTACTCGAAGGGAAGAAGGTGACCAGGGCCAAAAGTGGACTGTACTTGAGACTGGTACCCGTGTTCCCTCCTGGGCATGGCTGCTGGTGGTAAGTAGACATCTGTGGGACTTCCTACAGCTCCGACGACGTTGACTACCGAGGTTCCACCACCACCCTGTACCAGCCGAGCGCGGCAACCCACCCAGTGAGCCAGGTGCACCCACCTTCGTCCATGCCCTGGCTGGGCAGCGGGCAGACCAGCACTGGTGCCAGCGTGGTGAGTTCCTTACTCCTGGGGTGGGCTTCAGAATCGGGTGCTGTGAGACCACAGTGGGGTCACGTTGGCCTAGCAGGGATCGCGGTGTCAGAGCAGGGCCTGTTGGTGCCCCGGGATAATAGCAGTGCCGCCCCGTATGGTGGGGTGTGGTGTCAGAGCTGGAACTGTCATTGTGCTATAGTAACAGCAAGGTGCTGCATATGGTGGGGTGCAGGGTTTGGCGCAAGCGTTCCTTACCGCAGTCCTGAGCACGAAGTCTGCGCCACAAGGCTGTGCAGTAGGCGTCCGTGACCACTTGAGACCCGTGCTCTGTCAGGGAGCTTAGCAAATCTGTTCCAGAGTTCATCTCAGTCACAGGCTGTCACAGAACGTTACAGAATTAGTTATCTGGAACATCTCCTTCCTCACTTCTTCTGAATACACGCAGTAATTCCTTTTGCCTTCTACAGCTTATGAAGAGGAATCTACACAACGTGAAGAGAATGACCTCACACCCTGTCCATCAGTACTGTGAGTACCTCGCTCACGATCTATCCTTCCAGGGTCCTCTGTGCTCCTGAGGCTGTTGTTAGGAACTACTGAAACCTTGACCCTTGCGTTCCACATTGCCCATCTCCCTTTCAGACCTGACAGGTGCCCAGGACGGCAGCGTCCGCATGTTTGAGTGGACACGCCCGCAGCAGCTCGTCTGCTTCCGTCAAGCTGGCAACGCAAGAGTCACTAGGCTGTATTTCAACTCACAAGGCAACAAGGTTTGCGCTCATCCCCACATGATTGTGCACAGTAGGGCCTACCTGATGGGTGAGACCACCTCCACAAACTCAGGGAGCAGCGTTTAGGCTGAGCAGGCAGGGTGTTGGGTCCGCTTCCATGCCCTCTCCTCTTCTGATGGAAGCAGAGGTCACACAGCTCAGCGTGATGATCAGGGTCCGTCCACGTAAGGGCCCCTCAGAGTGGAGAGGTTGCTCTGTGGGGTGTGTGTGGCTGGAGACCCCATTTTCCCACGGGGCTGCAGTAGACCTCGGGGGGACCCAGAAAGCAGCTACAATATGTGGAGTGTGGAGCACGTGGCTTTGCTGGGAACTGCAGCAGAGGCAGCCGTGGGTGGGGTGTTTAAGTGGGGTCCGAGTGAAATCCCCTTTCCATACGTGATCCCGTCTTCGGCAGGGATTCTGGGAAGCTGGGCTGACTGTTTCCATCCCCTTACAGTGTGGTGTTGCGGATGGAGAGGGTTTCCTGAGTATCTGGCAAGTGAACCAAACAGCGTCCAGCCCTAAACCTTACATGGTGAGTCTCTCCCCGCTCCGAGTGCCACCCGAGTGTCTCCTGCGACAGGGACAGTCGCACCGTTCCATCCAGCATCATAGCGAACACCAGCCACCCAGCTGTACCCTGGTTTTAAACTGAAATGCCCTAAAAATAAAAGCCTGGCTTTTTACCCAGATGGGCAGCCATGTTGGAGAAATGCTCGGAGCTTTCACTGTGTCTGATCAGTTTAGGATACATTTTTGCGATACATTTATCCATTTTGAAAACAACTTTGTAGTACTGGAATTTTATGTGTATTTTAAGATTCAGACATGTGCTGAGCATCTGATTTCCTCCACAATTTTGCTTACTGGTTTATTAAATAATCCTGATGGACTCTGCATTAATCTGAGCCATGGCACGGTGCCTGGTGAGGACCAGCGCATCCCCAGCGGTGGCAGTGTGGCTGTGCTCCTGTAGATCCCCTGGCACAGAGTGGTGGAGCTCCGGCTGGCCTGCAGTCCTGGCTCCAGAGCAGTCACCCGGATCCTTCTAAATTTTCTTTTCTGGAGTAGCCCCATGTTCTTAATTACAGGCAGGACAAGGTATTTCTCTTAAATTAGCACACTATCTTGACTGTACCGTAATACCCTCATGGAAATGAAAGTAATCTTGAATTTATACTTTTGCCTTTAGTCAGATCTGATCATTCTAGGCAGAAAAAAATACTCATTTTATTTTCCAATATCCTGACATGCTTCTTTTGGGCCTGCACCTCAGACTTTCTGTTCATCACCGGATGCAGTGGGAAAGTCCTGCCTGGGTTCGTAGATAGCTTCCCGCGTCTTTAGAGCCTCCTTAGGAGCCCTTGGGGGTGACCTTAAGCCCACGGGCTGTCTGCAGGAGCCCTCTTGACAGCGTCTGTGTAAGTTCCTTACCTGCAGAGCATAGCAGAGTGTGCTTGAACAGTAGACGTTTGTATTTTGTTCAAAGAGTTAACCTGACTGAGTCCTCATGCTGCAGTCCTAACAGCATGAGTGTGGAAGAGCCCTCCCCTTTGGTTACTGACTTCGTTAGGTGCATGTGAGTCGTCTACACTAAAATTATTTGGGCTTTTACTGTAATCAAATGGCTGGATAAGTTCGTGGGGTCTTGCTCTGTGTCATCTAAAACTGGGCTCAGGCGCTGTTCCCGCCTTAGCGTCCCAGGTAGCTGGACTACAGATACCTGCCACCCTGTCCAGCTCATTCCTGTCCTTTGATGTCTTCTCTACTTAACGTTTAAAAAAATATGGAATTACAGGCTCTATTTTTTAGATTACCAATTGTTTCCAGTTTTTAAAGATTGGTTGCATTCACTTGTTCTTCATTCTAGGCTCATTGTTCAAAAGCTGTTCTTATTCATGCAGGTGGTATGGTGTGTGACTTTTCCACACCAGTGTCACTGGGTGTTCAGGTGACGTTGTTGCACTTTGTTTTCCGTAGAGCTGGCAGTGCCACAGTAAAGCCACAAGTGACTTTGCGTTTATTACCTCTTCAAGTCTGGTTGCCACATCTGGACAGTCCAATGACAACAGGTAGGCTGACAGAAGCAAAGGAAGAAACATAAATTTTAGGCAGGTTATTTTTGCTAGAAAATATAGTATAAAAACACCTAGGAATAGAAAGAGTTGTCACATAATTCTTATTTCAGAGTGGTTCTCCTTACTGAAAAGTGGAACAAAATTTTCTCCTACTGTAGTTTCTCTGTAAGCATGTATAATTTTTCAGTTAACACGGCTGTGTCTTAACTGCTGTCAGCGCTGCTGGGTGCTTGAGAAACCAGTGTGCTTGGGATGCGGTGGCTGTCCCCACTGGCCCCCTTCGTGCATGGCACCCTGCGGAGAAGGCTTCGTGCGGGGGCAGGGTACAGGTGGCGGGCTGTTTGGAGGGGGCTGCAGCGGGGCAGGCCCAGCCTTGGGGACACGCAGAGTGCCGGGGACAGGCTGGAGGTAGAGAAGAGAAACCCAAATCCTGCCCTGGTTGAGATTTCTGCTCTATAAATGTGAGGAAAACAAGAAGAATCAGTAAATAAAAGCATTTGACGTGAAGACAAAATTTGTCTATACTGGTGCTTTGCACGAGAATTGATGTGTTTTTCTTGTTTCTTTACAAGAAATGTATGCCTGTGGGACACGCTAATACCGCCTGGGAACAGCCTCATTCATGGTGAGTTGCGGTCTGTGGTTACCACGGGGTTACGAGGCTGCTCCTTTAGCTTAGTGAGCAGGTCCAGTGTTTATTCCCGGGACAAAGGTGGAGACAGATCTGGAACAGATGCCTGCAGCCAGTGCAGGTGAAGGGAAGAGTCTGGCTGTGTCGCGGGCCGGCCAGCCGGGGCCGGGATGCGCGGCAGCCTTGGAGGGCTGTGGGGTCGACCCTGTGAGCAAGGGGTCTGAAGAATTACCTGCAAAGTATTCATTGAACTCAGTAGAAATGAAGTCATATTTCAGAGACTTAAAGTTAACAGAAAACAAAGGTTAGCCTCGTAAGAGCTAGCAGTGCATCATACCCTTTCAGGATATTCCTTTGGTTTAAGACAGTATTTGCGTAGTTAGTGCCTCACGATCTCTTTCCACATAATGCTGCCCAGAAAGGATTGCATGCTCTGATCGGTTTGGGTTAAAGTGAAGCAGATTTTTTTAACAGAATGATTTTAATACGTTGAGATACATTTTGAAAGGTGTAGTTATTTCTGAGTTTGTTTTGATGCAGTTTTTTCTCTAAACAATTGACACAATTTGCAGACTTGCCACACATGAGCCTTGAATCATACTAAAATTCCCAGGGCTGGGCAGCTGAGCTGTGCAAGACGTGGCGTGAGTGCTAGCACTGCAACAAAGAAAACAGGATGCAGCGAGTCCTGGGAAGGAGCGTTAGCTCTCTGCCCCCGCACCGATTAGCCGATACTGGGCAGGAGCACTTTGTCCCTGGGTCTCAGGTCTAGTCCCTGTGGTGGTGCCGTGAGTGGGGTGAGTGGCAGCCGAGAGCAGGGCCCCAGCGGTGCCGTAGACCCTTGACTGAGCCTGCGCGCGCTGACCCAGTAGCGGTGGGCACTGTCGCTGTCGAGCACGCGTGCAGCCGAGCCAGTGACTCACCGAGGACCGTGCCAGCCATGTGTGGGTGCAGGGAGGTGACTGCTGAGCATCCCTGAGGAGCACAGGCTGCACTGTACCCCGGGGTCTCCATGTTGTCCAAGGTGAAGCTTTTAAGAGTGTTTCATGTGTGAATGGTCCTCAGCTCTCCAAGCCAGCCTACCTCTGGGCCAAGGTGGAACTTCCTGTGTGTGTAGCGTGCAGAGATGATGGGTAAACAGGCTTTTTCTAGCATTGCCTATAATTCTTCTTTGTAATGCAGTCATAGAATTTCAGAAATTCGGTGACTAAAGGCACGAGTAACTTCTGTACTCTCCATGTGGCTTAAGCATTAATGGCACTGTTGAGACTGAGCCGCTGCACAAACGCGGGTGTCTTTGTCCCCAGGTTTCACATGCCACGAGCACGGGGCCACTGTGCTGCAGTACGCGCCCCGCCAGCAGCTCCTCATCTCGGGGGGCAGGAAAGGCTGCATCTGCATCTTCGACATCAGGCAGCGGCAGCTGCTGCACACGTTCCAGGCCCACGACTCGGCCATCAAGGCGCTGGCTCTGGACCCCTGCGAGGAGTACTTCACCACGGGCTCTGCGGAGGGGAACATCAAGGTGAGTCTGTGCAGACCGAAGGCTGTTACCTGTCCGTATCCGTGTGAGAACAAAGCCGGCTCCTGCGCCTGTGAGCCGAGAGCGCAAGGGAAGCTTCATGGAGAAAATGAGTCTCCCAGCACTCCGCTTCTGCTGGCCCTTTCTAGACCACTGCAGAAACCCCTGGACTCGCAGATCCCTGTGGCTTTAGAGATGGGCTGGCGGTGCGGCTCTTTGAGAGCCTGAGTAAAGCCCCAGACTTGATCCCAGCACTGCAAAAGCAAATACAAAGCTTTGAAGTACTGTTGGGGCTACTGCATGGTACATACCTCTACTTGCAGCTATGTGGGAGGCTGCAGCAGGAGGACTGCAAGTTCAGGCCTACTTTAGGCAACTTACTGAGGCCCTGTCTCAACATGTGGAAAGAGCTAGGGATATAGCTCAGTGGTAGAGCACCTTCTGTACATGCACGGGGCCTAGGTTTGATCCACCTACTGCAACAGACTGGCTAGTTTTTCTGGTAGTGGGGTTAGATCTACACCCCAGGATGAAGTGTGTGAGCTTAATTAATGATGGATTTTGGTGTGGCTTAAGCATTAACAGCAGTTTGGCTGTTGAGACCCTTCCATACCCCCACCCTGCCCGCAGCACTTGCTTCTCGGGTGGTGAGGCCAGGTTTGCATTGAGGGACAGCACGTGCACTCCTCCACCTGGCACCAGGGCCTGGTTTGTGGGAATTACTGCATAGCACCCCAAGTCAGTGCCTGACTGAGCTGGAGCTGCTCACAGATGGCTGATGTGTGACAGCAGCACAGACAGGGAAGGAAGCCTGCGCATGGGGTCGTCACTTCTCCTTGGGTCCGCGATTCGAGGAAGGGGTGGTGGGAGTGGGGCTCTGGTGACGTTAGCCGGCCAGGGAACAGCAGTGAGGGTGGTGTGTTGTTCTTGGTCTCTCTAATGGCTTAGAAGCATTTCTCTTTTTGTCTTAAACCAGGTCTGGAGGTTGACTGGCCACGGCCTCATCCACTCCTTTAAGCACGAGCACGCGAAGCAGTCCATATTCCGGAACCTTGGGGCTGGTGTCATGCAGATTGAGCTAGTCCCAGGCAGCCGGCTCTTCTCCTGTGGCGCTGACGGCACCCTGAAAACCAGGGTCTTGCCCAGTGCTTTTAACGTCCCCAGTCAGATTCTTGACATTCTGTAGACTTCAAGAGTGGGGCTTCGTTTTTATGTACACTTCAATTAAAATGTAGTCCAGCAATTATCAGGCAGTTAGTACCTTGAAAACCATACAGAGAATCTCTGTAGCTCTCAGTCGCAGGCGTGCTCTGCCAGGTGTTGCCTGTCCACACTGGTAGGATGAATGTGCATGTACTGTGCTGCTGACATCCTTAAGAATCCCACCTTGTATTGTGTGAAGGGTAGCTATTCTTTCAGCAAACCTGATTCGGAAAACACCGGGGGCTCAGTGAGTGAGTAAAAATAGCAGGAAGGGTGTGTAGACCACACTGCGGAAGCTCTGTTGCTGACTCAGGTTTTCCTCCTGTCTTACTCCGGTCGACGCATGCCTGCAGGGTCCTCCTCTGAGCGAGGGCGCCCGCGGTGCTGGACGCACCACACCAGCCACGGCCCGTGCGCAGGGACCAGGTCTGTGCTGGAGAGGTCATTTCATTCTTTCCTGCTGAGTATCTTTCCTGTTAGTGTTTATACTGAGCTAGTACTGTAATTTGCAAATGAGTGCAAATTTAAATGCAACGTTTTCCTCATGATTTGCACATTCACATTTTTTGGACTGCTAGTTTTTCTATTTAAATATTTGCCTTCATGTTAGGAATGTAATGTGAACAAGACATATTTGTAGTTAACCAACACACACCTTCTTAGTCCAGTTTATTACTTCTTCTTTTTATTGTGTTCAAGATTAAAACATTTAAGGCCATGTTGAAACTGCACCAATAGAGCATTTCATATCAACTCAAATGAATGTTAGGCTTTTTGTGGCCAGTTAAGTCGATGAGATTGGTGGTATTATTTATTGCCACAGCCTATTGTATAAACTATGCAGAGTTAAATACCATTTGCTTATAAAATCTTAGCCAGTGTTGTCATATTTTGATGTATTTCCTAGGTTATGACCAAAAATATGTTCTTGAGATATTGAAACCATTGTCTGCGTGTGTCTACATGTTTACCAGCAAATTGTCTCATCATGTTCGAGAGAACGTTTAATGCCTGTGGTGAATAGTAAAACATAATGGTGTAAAGCACCTTTCGCTGAAGGCGACGTGATGTTCATGCTGTGAAATACCTATGTAACAGAAGAATAAATGTTATTTGTTAGAGTTTTATCTGAGTCTGGCCTATTTAAATAGCCTGGTCTGGCATTCTTTGATAAGTTTTTAATAGTTGAGACAACTTTTAATAAAATGTTGAACTGTTCGAGAATTTTTAGGCTCTTAGGCAGTTGATTCATTCACCAGTGTTTACTGAGTCCCTGACCTACAGAGGCCACCCCGGCAAATCAGGAGACTGCGGGGCCAGGCGAGGAGGCACGGCAGGGGAGTGCGCAGGCAAGCGCTCCCGCACCGCCTCTTCTCGCACAGGCTGCGCTGGTGAAGGGCGGAAGGAGGGCTGGCTCGGTGCTGAAGCTGTAAAGGAGCCGGGCACAGGGCCTCGGTGAGTGGCAAGGCAGACGGGGTGTAGAATTCACAGGGTCGCAAATTTGACAGAATGGAGAACACCCAGTGCTCAGCAGAGTCAGCACCCAGAGGCCATGCGTTGTGTTTCTTGTGTCACCCTATATACTTCACTAACAGTACTGACTCAGTAGGAACTGGAAGGTCACCCAGTTTTGCAACAGAAATTCAGATACGGTGGTAACTTAATTCTCTCCATGATTCTGGTCACAGCCAAATTGGACAGTGCCCAGGAAGCGAGCACACAGACCCTTGGACGGCTCACATTCAGCACAGCATCCCCTTGCGCCCCTGCCCCAAAGCCTACATTCAGCGGAGATCAGAGGGCTGCTCGCTTTCTCCCATCTCTCAGTGGGAACAAAGGTGCCGTGACCTGGACAGGAGCCACGGTCTGGGTCGGACAAAGGGGCACTCCTCCGTTGCAGGGGAGGCACCTCGCGAAACCACAGGCGCTAAAGCGAGGTGGCCAAGGTCATGACTGGCCAGGTCCCGGGACTGCAGATCACGGAAGGAAAATCACTCATTCAGAAACAGGAATTTTTGCTCTGACTCACTCTTTATTTACTTTTTTTTTTTGGTACCGGGAATCAAACTCAGGACTTTGTGCTTGCCAGTCAGGTGCTTGTGCCGCTGAGCTATATCCCTGGCCCTGACATACTCTTCGATGTTTCTATTTTAAAATCTTTTCGTCATTGAGTTTCTGAGGGATTGGCTTTTTTCTCCCATTTTTGTCCTCTTGTAGTTTTTTTTCTCCTTTCAACCTTTTCCTCTTCCTTTTACTTCCTGTATTTTGCTATTTATTTTTTTCTTATTCATTTTCTCCTGTGGCTGTTCTCTTAACACCATTCATTTCCTTTTACATAGTAGGGCCCCCATCTTTTCTCTCCTCATGTCACATTGATTTCTCAAATTTTGCATTTTTTGTTATTTCTACCTTTACGAGTACCACTACCAAGCTTTATGAATCTCTAGATAGCTACTTCTAACTTTAAATTTGTTGAATACTGTTCTATCGTCAGAGGTAAAGTTGTTCCATTTAGTAGCCATTTACTTTGGGTCCACAGTAAGTCAGTATTGGGGTGGTCTTAGTGTTCAGACTATAATTACAGATCTCTTTTCTATGGTTAAGAGTGGTACTTAATTGGTTTTTCAGGATTTGGCAGTACTCAGTTTGTATTGATGCTGTAATTGATGCTGATTTTGTTACGATATCAAGCATGACATAGCTGTTGCTATTAATTGGTTTTCTTGGAATGCAAATACCTAGATTGCCTCAGTGTCATTAACAATATTGTGGCCCATTCCTCGATATCTGGCTACTAGGCCAGTGTGCTGCAAACTTGATCTCAAGAAAGTGGAGGTGGTTGGATCCTGAACACAAAAGTCATAGTCCCACACCAAGAGGACACCACTAAAGTGTACACATTACATTCATGAGGTCTCCATACCAGAAACAAAATTTTCCACTAAAGTCAACCCACAAGCCTCAACACAAAACCAAATAAAAACATGAGAAGACAAACAAACAAAATACCTCCAAAAACTCGCAACTTCCTCAAAACTGATCTATGGGGCACTGAAGGGGAGGAAACCAACAGCCACACACCAAAATTGTTGGAAATTGTTTTGGGACTCTAGGTATGGTGTGTGTGCCTGCAGTCGCAGCACTCAGGAGGCTGAGGCAGGAGGATTGCCCCAAGTTCAAGGCCAGCCTGGCCTGCGTAGGGAGTTCAAGTCCAGCCTGAACTACATACTGAGACCTGACTACATACACACACACGCACACACACACAAATTATATTGGGAGATAAAATACAAACAAGGCATTTGACAAGCTCATGAAAGATATAAACAGATACTGGGCCAAATTAAACAGTCTGCAGAAGACACTAACAAAAAGCTAGTAGAGCTAAACCAAATGATGAAGAACATGACTGACCAGCGTAGAAAAGAACAAGTCCATTAAAAGGCTCGAAATAGAAATTCAGATTAAAAATCCTATAGAAAGTATCACCAAGAGAAGTGACCAGTGTGAAGAGACAATACCAGAACTAGGAGACAGGGCTGTCGGTAAACAGCTAATGAGAGAGACCTTAGAAACATTACAAGAACATGAAAAATGGATCCAACAGTTCCTAGATGGTGCAGAGAAGACTAATTGAAATTAGTGAAAAATCAGAAGACAGCACAAATGCCATACAAAATCTGTTTACTGAAATAGATAACTTTTCAAATAAAGGAAAAGAGCATGCAGATTTCACATACAAATAAGGTTTATAAAACCCCAAATAACCACAATCAAAAAGAACCTCTCCAAGACACAATATAGTCAGAATCCCAGAGGTCCAACATAAGAACAGAATTTAAAAGCATAACAAAGTGATGAATCACTTATACTAGAATTGCAGCAGACTTCTGAACACAAACTGTAAAGGCCATGAGAGCTTGGAGTGAAGTGTTTCACGCCCTAAAAACAATTTCCAAACCAGGCACATGTATCCTACAAAACCGTATTTCAAACTTAATGGGAAAATAAAATATTTTCAGATAAAGAGCACCTAATGAAATTAATGACACGGGCTGGGGATTTAGCTCAGCGGCAAAGCGCCTGCCTGGCAAGTGCAAGGTCGTGAGTTCGGTTCCCGGTACCGGAGAAAAACCAAAAAAAAAT